GATCACCATACTAGTGACCATGGGGACTTACAGTGCCTTTGCTACCTGCATGGACCCTAGTTGGATTTACACCATCCCTTCAGCTGCTGGCGATTGGAAGAAATGTCAGCCAAATTAAAATAACAAAAATGCTACGTTTAAAAATCCTGGAAAGTTGAAATTGACTTTCGAAGTTTTGGGACTTACGTACCCTCTCAAGGGGACAATATTTTTACGATACTTCAACCCCCCTTGAGAGTACAACCATTAACAATCTAAGTTACTATTCAAACTACCAATCATTAAAACACAGCTATATGCAGAACATATTAATCAAAATTCATTAATGAAATCAATTTCTTTTAAAAAACCAAGAATTAAATGAAGATGAACAGAATTAAAAAGATCCTTAACAGTTTTAAGCATTAATTGGGAATTATGAAACAGTTGAGAGTACTTGGTAATATTAACTACTCTTCATTCTTTAAAATATTTGATGCCAAAGTCAGTCCAATTTTATCATATGGGACCGAACAACAAAATTTGGGGAATAACAAAATTAGACGAAATTCAAAAAATCCATTTATACGCATGCAAAAATTTCCTCGGAGTTACAATTAACACTATTAACGCAGTGATTTATGGTGAATGCGGTAGGTACCCAATGCACATTCTTACAAGCATTAAAGTTATTAAGTCCTGGCTAAAACTGTTGATTATGCCTTCAAATCGCTTACCTAAGAAGTGTTATAATATTATGCTGTTATATGATAAAGGTGGACAAGAAAACTGGACAACCAATGTAAAAAACTTTTTATATTCTATTGGTTTTGGAATTACATGGAATGCACAATATGTCGAATCACCTACGTTTTTCATACAATCCTTAACGATAAGACTAAAAGATATGTATATTCAAAAATGGTGTGAAAGGATATCCTTATTAAATAAATGCATGTATTATTCATTGTTTAAAAATGCCATAGTCCTTGAGTCATATCTATCCTGTGTTAATGTTAGAAAGTTGAGAATAGCACTGGCACGATTCAGATGCTCTTCTCATGATTTGTTGATTGAAAGAGGCAGATATATGAATGTAAAAAGAGAAAATAGAATATTTACACTTTGTAATTTTAACGAAATAGAAGATGAATTACATTTTCTCCTAATATGTCCATTTTATGACCGGGCAAACAAAATATATTAAAAGATATTACTATGTCCATCCAAATGTGATAAAATTCTCCTCACTGTTAAGTAGTAAAAATGCAGTTCTTCTACAAAATATTTCAATGTTCATTTACTATGCTGTGATTACCCGATCTAAATTCCTCTCACATGTAACATAACTTTATGTACTATAGGCCTGTGGCCTTCTCAATGCAAAGAAAGATTATTATTATATAGTTTTGTGATGTTGTAAAATTGATAAATTTATTCTGCGATATTTGAGAGATGGCTCATCGGCCTCCGCCTACACAGACTGTTAATAGGTGATGTTCTGAAAGATCCAAGATCTTGATGGTGGACAGAATCTAAAAGTTTAAGGTTGCTTTTGCAGGCTCCACCATAAACGATCGAACCATATTCGAGTTTAGAAGAAATGGGTGTTCTATACAAGTGAAGGAGCGTCGACTGATCACCACACCACCAACCCCACCCCCAACTTAGTATTGGAGACGACTTTTAAGGGATCTAATGCCTCCAGGCATTTTGCCTTAAGATATTTGATATGAGGTAGACAGACAGACAGACAAGTTTATTCAGTAAAAGGCCACAGGCCCATCATACAGTCATTTGCATATGATATAGATAGTTTAGTGCACATGCTGTGTAAGAGGAACATTTCTAATGCGCTGAAGTACATGATACAGGAAAATACTGACATCTCTTATGATACAATCATTATGCGTTTTCATAATGTTAATAAAATTGGCATTTGGATCAAAATCAGTCAAATATTTCTGAATATATCTTAACCTTAAATCAGAAAAACGTTCACACTTAAGGAGTACATGGAATTCATCTTCAATAACATTTTTGTCATCCAATTTACAAAATAGACATAGTCTCTCGTTGTAATTAACTTTATTGTATCTACCAGTTTCAACAGCTAAATTAAAATTTCCACATCTAAATTTAGAGAGTGCAGATCTGAGATGTAAAGGAATATCAGAATTTAAATACCTTTCCACATTTAAAAATGTCTTAAATTGGGAGTGATAAAAACACTTATTTGAATTTTGAATATGAGGTAGAAATGTAAGATGATGGTCAAATATGATACCAAAAAAGTTGGCTTCCTTAACTACTTTAATTGGAATACCCGATAGATGTAAGTCTGGGTCCTTATGTGGTTTATATATACAACTGAAATGGATGCAGTTAGTTCTAGATTTAGAAAACTAAGGGCCATTTCGTTCAGACCAATCTTTAATTTTATTGAGACAGAGGGGGCAACTGTCTCTCAATCTTGTGCATAGTTTTACGTCGACATGATACGTTAAAATCATTTTGATACTGAACAATGTTACAGGTACTATGCTACCTTGTGGGACACCTTGATCTTGTTCGTAAAATTCAGACAAGGTGGGACCCACATGCACCTGGAAATATCGATCTGTTAAATCTGTGACATAAAATTAGGCAAACAGCCTCTCAGCACCATTTCATGAAGATGCTTCAAAACTCCATGTTTCCACGTTGTATCATATGCTTTATCGAGATAATAACATATAGATACAGCGTGTTGTTTATTGACGATAACATTCTTAACAAACCTTTCTAATCTAACTTAATGGTCAAAATATGTAACAGGGTCTCTAAACAGTTAACAGGTAAATGTTTCAGTAACTGACAATGAATGCTATCAGCACCCGTAGCTGCATCATGAGCTTGCCCTAAGGCAGTATGGGGCTCGTGAATGGAGAACACCTCATTGTAGTCCTCCCTATTATCACAAACAAACAAAATTTCAGCATGATGTTTATATTTTTGAAATATTGGTGTATAATTTGATGAGGAGGTATGTTCAGCTAAAGTTTCTCCTAATTTATTAGCCATGTCAGATTTATCAGTTAGTATTGTGTTCCCATTCTTAAGGTGATGAACACCAGATTTTGATCCTTTACCCATTATCCTTTGCACCATATTCCAGATTTTGGACATAGGTGTTCGTGAATTAATTTTTGAAACATAGTTTTGCCAAGATTGACGTTTATTTTGCTTTAAGGTATGATGTCTTCGCATTTAGTATTTTAAATTAGAAATGGATAGTTGGGTGATAGCGGAAATATTTCTCTGCCTTTTCCCTCGCTTTTCTAGCATGTTTACAGTCTGCATTAAACCATGGCTTCCGTACATGTTAAGCTGCAGAGGACTTTGGTGTACACTCATCAGTTATAACATTTAAAACGTCAGAAAAAACATGAATAGGATCCAGCAATATCACTGAAACATTCGGGTCTTAGTTTAGATATGCATTAAGTTTGAAATAAGGACCAGTGTGGCTTGGAAAATTTCCATCTTGTGTAAGATGGAGAATCAGTTGGATATATTGCTGCTAGTATCTTGGAAAGTGATCACTCCACAGAGGTAGGTCATTGTGGACCGACAAATCAAATTCATTAAGTAGATTAGAGTCTGCAAGAGACAAATCCAGAGAACTTATTATCTCCTACGTAGGACTCTAGTATCACCTACGTAGGACATATTATCTCCTACGTAGGACATGCTATCTCCTACGTAGTACTTAATATCTCCTACGTAGGACATACTATCTCCTACGTAGTACTCAATATATCCTTTTTAAGGATGGTTATTAAGTTGAGAAATGTTTGGCTATGCAGCACGTTAGATAGTTGAAAAGTGAGTCAGTGAATATTCATGACACTAACGCAGTGTTACTATGCCTCCATGTGAATATAGCTTCACATAACATGTACGACGTGCATTTTCTCACAGGAGAGTATGAGTATCTTTCCGTATTGCAAAACAAGGTTTGGATCTCCCTTGGCCTTCGGTTGGGGGAAAGAGGAATGACGATCCTGTACCTGTGTACTTTGAAGGGGTGATGTCATAAGGGATACAACAGTGCTCCTTAAAGTTCATAAGCCTGAGCACAGAAAATTCGGACTGTACTTTTCGTCTACAAATAATGCAACCATATACGGAAATGCGCACTTGTCCAGAAGATACAAAGTGTCTGGATCAGTAGGAAAATTAAACATTTACAGAAAACTGTAGATAGATACTGACAATGTTGTATGAAAATAACCTTGAAAGATTTGCAGCATTGTGAATTTCCAAAGACTATAATTGTAAGAGTCACAAAGGCATATCCCTTTATTCTAGTGCAATATTTGATTTCTTTACCTCGGAGTCATCTAATACTTTACACAATTTCTATTGCCTTCGAATGAGATTTCAAGCTGTCACACAAAGTGAATGTTTCCTGATGAAACTGATTTGTAAATTTCCTCCCAACAAATGCCGATTTCCTCCCAAAATGATTTTTAGGTTTTTATCTGTATTATTGCCTTTTGGTCATTTAATTAAATAAAAACATTTCAGAATATGCCTTAACACCATTGGTGATGGAAACCTAACCAAAAAATGAAGGATTTACATAGCTAAATTAAATGTCGTAATTATATATGTTTGGCTTTGGTGAGGTCACGTGACATGAAGTTTTAAAAAACTGGATCCTACCTGATCAGCACATCATGACATGACATGAAACCTAATCCCGTTTACCAGGTGTTGTCAGAATAATGTTTGGTGTATTGTCTCAAGAATAAAACCGGCGTGTTTAAACAATACCATCTGAACATGTCACATTTGTATCTGTTGTCATGTTATTTTAATTTAGTAGAAGTTAAATATGCTGCGGATGCCGTATGTAGTTTTATGAATATTTATTCACATATTTATGTCGGTAACAATGAGGCATGTGCAGTTTGCATGATATATTTTGGAATGTTCATGAAATAATACACCAAGGAAGGAATATTTGAATTCGAAAGTGTTACGTCTGACTGGAAAGTGGCAGGGCTCTGAACTGAATACAGAACATTAATTTCAGACTTCTTCCCCTGAAGTGCTGGATTTGTTGAAAGTGTGGATGGGATGAGGCAAGCCTTTTCTACTCAATAATCCGTGGACGGTCACTGTAAGTTGCCACAAGTCGAGAATACCACTGATTCGGGATAATTGTGAGGATTATCTTTTAAAGGTATTGCTATCTTTGCTAATGTCGGTGTTTTGATTTGATAATTTTCCCTTTGTACAATATGTTACACCTAATAGCTGGCCACATGCTTGGTATTATTAAATCAGGGGCGGATACAGCTTTTTGAGAAAGGGAGAGGGGCCACACTCTTGAGAAAGTGGAGGTGCACACCACTGGCCCTCGTGTCTCTGCGAGGATTATAGATTCTTAATAAATAATTATATATAAAATTTAGATGGCCCCCGACTCGAAATGCTTCACAGTCTAATACATCATGAGAAGGCCGGACACTTCGATACACCCCACCCGCCTGATTTGCTGATCGCTACGCTACCATCGCATGTAATCCATTAAAACGTAATGTAAAAATAATCATGGATGATCGGCCTATAGAGCACCACTCATGACACCTACCAGTTCTTTATTGTTTTTTCTGCAAGTCGATTGAAACCCGATTTTGACTCATTAACTAAACGATCTTGACACAAATGGATCCGCCAATGAATTTTTTCAACAGAACGCTAATGCTTGTGTTATTAACCAGCGGGATCTGCACTGGGATGCCTCAATATAGCTAGAATGCCACAGATGCAAGAAATAAACTCTGTCAAAAAAGAAACGCAACCCCTGTCCTCAGATATGAAAAATTCGTTTGAATGAAGTTATTGCTTCCAAACTAAATTTTATTCGAATGTATTGAAATTATACACGTAATTAATGAAGATTACCATCCAAACAACTGCATTTGTACGCATAAGTGTATTTTATTGCTTATTCCGTCACAACGCATGAAATGACCCTCATGGTGACTTCGCACAAAAAAAACACATGCAAATCATGAAAATGGCAGTTAATGGGGTGTATAAAAGCCCATGTGCTTTTCGCATTATATTCATTCATTTGTCGCCGAAAAGCTGTGTTAAAATGCCACGATTGAGTGCTGCCGACCGAAATATCGCCATTTGTCGTGTTCAAGCCGGAGAAAGTTTTGGAACTGTTGCACGGCACCTAAATGTTCACAAAACAACGATATCCCGACTTTGGAGCCGCTACAACAACTTCAATTTGACCAACGATCGCCCGAGAAGTGGAAGGCCAAGAATCACGACCCCCTTCAAGATCGGTACATCCGGGTCCATCACCTGCGTAATCGGCATGCCCTACCAACCGTGACTGCCACACAAATACCAGGTTTGAGGAGAGTGTCAGCTCAAACGATTAGGAACCGTCTGAAAGAAGCGGGTTTACGTGCCTGTAGACCAGTTGTTGGACCTGTACTACGCCCCTACATCTCCGCCGACGACTCAGGTGGTGCAACAACGTAAGGATATGGACTTTACAAAACTGGAGGCGCATCTGGTTTTCTGATGAATCCCGTTTTCTTTTTGCAACATCACGACGGAAGAAAACGTGTGTATAGGAGACGTCATGAACGTTTTGCGCCCATCTGCGTCCGACAGGGGGACAGATTTGGCGGAGGAAGCGTTATGGTTTGGGGATCCATCTCATACAACCAGAAATCAGACTTGGTGATCGTTGAAGGGAACCTGACAGCGCAACGTTACATCAACCACGTATTACAGCCTCACCTTCTCCCGATTATTGACCAACAGACACAGATTTTTCAACCAGACAACGCCCGGCCTCATACTGCACGTGCAACAATGAACTTTCTGCAGAATTCCAACGTCAATGTCTTGCCATAGCCCTCTAAATCACCAGACCTCAACCCTATTGAACACCTGTGGATACTCTGGGTCGACGCGTACGTCAACGTCAGCCGCCGCCACAGACGCTGCAACAGCTCGGCGTTGCACTGCAGGAGGAGTGGAGAGCCATTCCCCAGGAAAGAATCCGGCGTCTTATCCGTTCTTGTCCAAGGAGATGCCGTGCAGTGATTGCAGCTCGTGGTGCTCATACGAGATACTGAGAAAGACGCCCCCCTGGTGACAAACTGGTGTCTGTGAGATGACTTTTGAAATGACAATTTTAAACATGCCCATCTTGGTTATTATTCTGCCAAATTTCAGACTTCTGTCTTAAATAATAAAAATGCTGTGTCGTCTTAAAACTTCAGATCAAAATCTCTAAAATACAGGGGTTGCGTTTCTTTTTTGACAGAGTTTACATTTGTCATAAAATCACATTGACTTTAGACAAACTTATATGGCAAAAAATGTTATCAAATATAAAGGCACTTATTTTCAATAAACTTAATCGTGCATTTTAGTCATGGATTTACCCCAGGAGGCAGCAACTCAAACTGATGATACAATTACAACATGCGACGTTACCGACAACACTCATTCCGACCATGATGGGGACGAGGAGCAGGCAAGAGGAAACTGGGGCTCGCAAGTGCAGTACCTTTTGACAGTCGTTGGCTATTGTGTTGGCCTTTCAAATGTGTTGCGTTTCCCGTATATCTGCAAAACAAATGGTGGAGGTATGCATTCCAAATACATATATGAGTAATGAGCGCTTGAAATTAATAGAGATTTTAGTAGTGGAATCAGCTAGATTATTGAATAACCTCGGAATACATGGTTTCTAAAATGGTGGTGTTTGTGACAGGATATGCTCCATGGGAATACTTGGTCTCATCACTGTGTGATGGTGATTCATAGACTGTGACCTTCTCTGACATGCATTACGAATGTCTAAAGTATTTCCTCTGCCATTACTTTTAAAATATTGACCACGTAATGGAAATTTAGTTATTATATAAATAGGTTTTATTGCTAAACTATGTTGATATTTGGTCACAACCCGGTTACTAAAGTTCCTGAACGTCAATGTAAAACATTAGATTTCACATGGAATCTCGTTAGAATTGGTATCGAGTGAGGTTTCAAATACTAATAATTATCATAATTATACGGTTATTCTATGACAATAAAATGAGCGGTCGCAGTTTTTATAACTAGTATTACGCAAACGCAGTTCCTGCATGAGTATTCTGGGAAACCCACCATTGGAGACACACACGTGTGTTCCTGTCATTTATTGTAATGGAAGTTAGAATGTTGGCAGTAGTGAGTGAGTTGAGATTTTTAGTCACGTCGACAGTATTTACGCCAATGCAATGTAAGAATGGGCTCGTGGTCGCCAACAACTGACCATACCATACTACTGACCATTTTTCAGATAAACACTGAGAACAAAAATCATCCTTAAATGGAACCCCAAGCCGTTAACAAAACACTGTGATAACATATGCTATATTTTGGATTACACTCTCTGAGTAAAGTACAGATTATAGTACTTTATGTTGGGTTGAGTCCCATCCGGGATCAGGAACCTAATCGCCAGCACACAAAGTCAGCCGCCTAACCCGCTCAGCCACCGCGACTTCCACGAAAGTGTAATCCTAAATATAACATATGTTACATTTGACCACTCTCTAAATGGCATTGTGTAATCAAAACACTGTCATGTATGACTGTTTTTCCGCAGGTGCCTTTCTCATCCCTTACATCACGTGTCTGCTGCTTTGTGGTTTGCCGCTGTTCTTTCTGGAAGTTGTTATAGGACAGTTCCACGGGAAAGGTGCCGCTCATGTGTGGGGTGTATGTCCCTTGATAAAAGGTGGGCGTCTTCTTACAGTATGCCAATTTACGATACAAAAGCCATGCCCATTTGAGTAATTTTCCGTTTGCAAAGAAGGACTGTTGATTTATTTGAACAGTCAGTAATGCTTCCTCACTATTGGTAACTTTGTGTACGAAAATACTTCCTGATATATCACTGGCCATCCTTCTCTGTTTCAGTTCATATACTTGATTGTATGCATTAAACTCTATCATTAAAATACATGTCCATCTATGATTTATCCACGATTGCTGACCAGATATTCAAAATTAGCACAACGATTGTCAATCAGTGTAGGCGTAGGATCATCCTTGAAATGAAAATCTGAAAGAACAGAGATTAGTTAGATTCAGCCTGATTTGAGTGCAGGATTAACTGTAAGATGACTGGGGTCTGAAAATTGGACTGGGCGAACTTAAGGCAACTACTTCGGGACATTTTGTATTCTAAATGGAGAAACCAAAGAATTTATGTGTATTTATATTACGTGCCCGGACCAGGCTTGGGGATCGGCATGCTTATCATTTCCGGCGGGGTGATAGTTTACTACAGTACCACCTGTGCCTGGGCCGTGTACTACACGATCTACTCCTGTAGAACAGTTCTTCCCTGGACCAGCTGCGACAACACCTGGAACACTGAGAATTGTGTTGAAAACATGAAGCTGATGACGGGTAAGATCATTGTATGTATATGTATGGGCATGGATATGCTCTCCTTGTATGTACATGGTTTTACTAGCCTAAAGTTTGCATTTGTTTTTGACGGGTGTCACCGGCGAAGCAGGATCCGCTTATCAGGATACACATGGTATCATCACAGTTTGGTTGTGATGCCTAAACCTGGCTCATGGTACAGTCGAAATCGTTCAGTCCACTTGTGTTGTTACCTTTTATTTCATAGTAAACGGCTGTTACGGGTGGTACTGCAGAAAATATAAGAAATGTGAAATATCTAACGTATTCCGATCTACAAACTTATATGTGATCGGATCCAGAAGTCTTCTTTGTATTACTGTCAGTGGATTGGTAATGATATATCAAATGATCAGTACACTATTTTCATTTTATATCGACTTAAATCTATGTACTTCAGTTTGACCACTATGTGTGGAAACACACGTACGTCCATAAATGAAAGGACTGTTTCAATTTGTCTGCCCTACTCCAATTTGTCTGCCCGTCTCACCGAAAGTGTCCTGAGGCCTATTAAGGGCTAATTATGTTCTGTTACTTTCAGCAAATAGCTTCACCGTGCCAAACGAAACCCGAGTAAATAAGTCATTGGCAGTCACCACAAATTATGCTGGCAACAGTTTGGAGAATGAAACCCTATTCCACACTGCAGCTGAAGAATTCTGGCAGTATGTAGATCCATGTTTAAGAACAGGACCCTTTTGTATCATTCGTTGATTGTGCTTAAAACCCAAAATAATGTGTTATATTGTTAGACCATGTTCCCTTTTTAATTAAGCTGTCCATGTATTTTTTTAAGATTTCGACTAATGACTACTATAAGCAGGTAATTTAGGGGAAGGGCTTTGTATAATGACATGATATATTATTTTACAGTACAACCAGAAATTATTGAGAATTTAAAGATTGTAATTTTTTATATTTTTCTTACTCATTACTCACGTATTAATGTGAATATTAGCAGAACATAACTCCAGATTCAAAGACAGGTGAACAGTTAGTACTTTGTCAAGTCACCATGGGCAGCAATGCAGGCTTCAATGCGGCGAGGCATACTAATGATCAAAGAAGTTAGAAAGTCGTCGGACCACCTCTTCTTTTATTTCAGCAATATTTGTCAGATTTTTCTCACTTTCCTTCATAAGTCCCCAAACATTTTCTATTGGATTTAGGTCAGGGCTATAGCTTTGCCAATCTAATAATGTCATATGTTGGGTCCGAAACCAGGCCTGTGAATGCTTTGAACGATGTTTTGGGTCGTTGTCCTGCTGCAAAATCCAAACATTTCCATAGAACACGTGAGCAGATGGAAGTAAATGTCCCTCGAGAATATCTGTGTACCGCTCACTGTTCATATTCCCTTCAAATGCGTTGCCCCTAACACAGATATGCCACCCCACACGGTAAATTTCAGACTGTACTTTGGGCGCTGATACAAAGGTTTTTCAGTTTGTTTGATCCAGAATTTCAGTGTATTACGAAACAGCCACACAGAACTTTCATCTGAGAAAATCACATTGTCCCAGTTAAAATGTCTATGCTGTAAGCACCAGTTCAACCTTCGCTCCTTTTGTTCAGGTTTCATGATCGGTGATGGAATTCTCGACTTTTCTGCCAACCCATTGCATGCAGCTCAGTTCTAATTGTCTCCTTACAGACAGCCACAGTTCCTCTATCAATCATATCCAGCCTTAAATTTTCTACACTCCTTCGTTTGTTTTTAGAAACAAGAATACCAAGCCGCCTCCTGTAACCGACAGTCAATTTTCTGGGCCTACCTGCGCCTTCCTGGTGCTCAATGCCATGTCCATTTGCAATATATTTCAAAACACGATAAACAGTGGACAAAGGGATGCCTGTTCTACTTGAAATCACTTTAGCTGATCTGACGTCCTTAATCATCCATACTGAGGATCACTGAAAATGTCGTCTGCTAGCAAGTAAACAAAGGGGGATAACTCTTCACAAACTAATAAAAAAGGATTAACAGAGTTGTCTCTCTTGAATGAAACCAAGCACTTGATAGCTGGTCAAGGTTGTTTATACTAGAAATCCAATTAAACATATTCCTAAAATTCTTCATAATTTCTGGTCATACTATATTTCAACAGACGACTTTAATATCGTATAAAGATATATCTTCAAGTCTGAACATCATGACGGAATGATTACCCAGGGCTTAAAATTACATTTTGCTCTGGGAACAGTTGTATTCCTCATGTAATGCCTCTTATAGCATCAGGTTCAGTGTTATGTTAGAGCATTACATCATTACACACATATTAAAATGACTGAAAATCAATTCAGCCATGATTTGTCTTCAGATACAAAGTCCTCAGCATCACCTCAGGAATGGAACACCTGGGAGGCATCAAGTGGGAACTCGCTCTGTGTCTCCTTGTCACCTGGATTTTGATATTCAGCAGTCTGGCGAAAGGTATCAAATCAATTGGAAAGGTAATGCCACTGATATGACTGCGCTTTTGTGTAGGGATTCCGTGTAAGAATGATGAACTGTACCGCATGAATGTAAAACGAGGAACTGGTGGTCAGGATCGGTGTCTTCCAAGATTGTGCACTGGCAAATATTTTCTTCTGGGAGTACACATGGAGGATACCCGTGAAGGTCCGGGTTAGAATAGGGATCTTCAGTAACCCATGCTAGTCGTAAGAGGCGACTAACCGGATCGGGTGGTCAGGCTCGCTGACCTGGTTGACACATGTCATCGGTTCCCAATTGCGCAGATTCATGCTCATGTTGTTGATCACTTGATTGTCTGGTCCAGACTCGATTATTATTACTATAATTAGAAAGGATCATTTTCCTCTCCTTGACGCTTATCGTGATACCTGATCTTCATCAGGAGGGGGGTGGTGGGGTAGCCAAGTCGTTTAAGCACCCGCTTGTCACACCGAAGACCCGGTTTCGATTCCCCACATGAGTACAATATGTGAAGCCCATTTCTAGTTTCCTAAAATATTGCTAAATGCGTCGTAAAACCATACTCTCTCATCAGATGGCAATGCCAGACAGAATAAATGGCATGTGACCTTTCTTTACACATTATAAATACATATGATGTTGCTATGTAATTGCAAATAAGCCGTCTATACATTGAAGGTTATTTACTCTTGTTAATCTGTTTTGTTTAGGTTGTGTACGTGACGGCGACAATGCCATATGTGTTTCTCTTCATCCTGCTTGTCCGTGGCCTGACTCTACCTGGCGGACCACAAGGCGTTCTGTTCTTCATCACTCCTGATTTCAACAAATTACTGGACGTGCAGGTGCGTGATGGAAGTGCATAAATACCTCTTTTTTATTTCCTTTTGGTGTCTCATGTCTCTCTTGCAAACACTTGTTGTTTTAAAATTCCTGTCATCTTAACTTGAGAAGTACTGTAAAATTATTGTCCTCCTGAGAGGGTACGTAAGTCACAAAACTTCCCAAGTCTATTTAGTTCTACACACCTTTTTAATCGTAGAATATTTGTTGTTTTATTGTAGCTAAATATCAGTACAATTGCCAGTGGCTGAAGGGATGGTATAAATCCAGCTAGGGTCCATGCAGGTAGCCAAAGTACTGTAAGTCCCCATGGTCCCTAGAGTGGTGATCTACCTTCAGTTGTTGGCGATCCTCAGCCTTATTATCCCCCACAACGCGTTTTGCGGGGGGTATTAAAATGGACTCCGTCCGTGCATCCGTCCGTGCACATTTGTCTTTTCCGGAGCAGAACTCTAAAACCGTTCGATATTTCTTCACCAAACTTGGCAAATAGATAGATCTGGTGGTGTACTGGTGCCTTTTGGTAGTTTTGGATTTCTGAATAAAATATTTTTGGCATTTCCATGGCAACAAGTTCGACTTAGACTGAAATTGGTGGTAGTGCTCTTTTCCGGAGCAGAACTCTAAAACCATTCACTACTTCTTCACCAAACTTGGCACATAGATAGATCTGGTGGTGAACTGGTGCCTTTCGGTAGTTTTGGAATTCTGAATAAAATATTTTTGGCATTTCCATGGCAACAAGTTCGACTTAGACTGAAATTGGTGGTAGTGCTCTTTTCCGGAGCAGAACTCTAAAACCATTCACTACTTCTTCACCAAACTTGGCACATAGATAGATCTGGTGGTGTACTGGTGCCTTTCGGTAGTTTTGGAATTCTGAATAAAATATTTTTGGCGTTTCCATGGCAACAAGTTTGACTAGAACAGAAATTAGTGGTAGTTCACTTTTCCGGAGCAGAACTCTAAAACCATTCACTATTTCTTCACCAAACTTGGCCCATACATAGATCTGGTGGTGTACTGGTGCCTTTTAGTATTTTTGGAATTCTGAATAAAATAGTTTTGGCGTTTCCATGGCAACAAGTTTGACTTAGCCTGAAATTAGTGGTAGTGCTCTTTTCCGGAGCAGAACTCTAAAACCGTTCACTATTTCTTCACCAAACTTGGCCCATACATAGATCTGGTGGTGTACTGGTGCCTTTTGGTAGTTTCGGATTTCTTAATAAAATATTTTTGGCATTTCCATGGCAACGAGTTTGACATAGACTGAAATTGGTGATAGTGCTTCTTTCTGGAGCAGAACTTTAAAAACCTTTCAATACTCTCCTTCCACTTTTCTATATACACACCTAAATATTTGGCATAATCATAACTTGTAGACATAATCATGAAGAGTATTTTGCCATTTCGGGGGATATTGATGACTTTGTCTTCTTGTTTTATATTGTGTTGTCCTAATCTGAAATCCTATTTTAGAGATATATGCTAGTTTTTTATTTCCTATTTCTGTGATATACTAATTGGTTTTACTGTCCTTCGTCGACAGGTTTTTAAAATTTGCGCATTTGTCATGAATTTATCGTCTTCAGTCACGATATGGCTGAAATACTGCCGCTGTGACTATAAACTTTAACTCACTCACTTAACTTGAGAAAATACGAAAATACTATGGCTAAGATCAAATATATTTGCAGAAATATTTATGATTTTATTTTCCTGTTAATTATTATTGTTTTCAACAGATAAGGAATATATGTCGTCAACCTCTAAAAAGAATATATAGAATACTATAATCACTGTCGAATAAATTGCAGTTTTCAGCTATCGGAAATATATTATTGAAAACAAGAAGGTGAATATTCCATTTTGGAGTGATGGTATTTAAGAACCAAGTTGTATGCTTGTATATTGTTTTAGAAAATGGTTATTACATTCACAACGTGTCGTTAATTTCGTGCAAATTTGTGCAAGCGTTTTCCCTAATGTGGTCGGGGTAAAACTTGAAATTAACACTGAAACGTGTCAGTGTGTTGCCTTACATTTCAGTAATAAAAACCATACCGAAAGATGTTCTGATATTATTATGAACTCAATATTAATAAAACGTCGTTTGACATGCAGCGTCAGGAACGACTACGAGCTTTTACAGTTTCACAGTCAGAAACTAGCGGATTACAATTACGATGTCGACAGATAAATCAGGATGTTCTTACAACCATTGACATTTAAATCTTGCAATTAAGTATTTTCATACCATCTGACTGTAAATCAAATGGGGTTTATTTCGTTGCTGATTAACGATCACATACTTGACATTTCCTCTGAAACTGTAATGCGTATAATTAACAAAGCCTTTGTTAAGAAACCTAAATGGTTTGTTGTTCAAATATACTGAAATTTGGCATATTTGGGGTTCAGCAGTACATGCATGTTCCGTTTCTGTAATCTCAAGAATATTTATTTTGATTAAACCTTTACAGCAAAATACGTTTCTATACAATTGAACGTAGATGCAAAAACTGTATTTTTGACCCTTCAGCACATAAGCATGCCTTTATGTTTGATCACATGATAAAATCCGTATATACGAAAATATATCTTTGCCATTGCTCCCGTCAATATATTTCCGCATACATGTTTGCCATGAAAGCTACAGCTCACTTCGAAACGATTTGGATAGCGCAAAATCTGGAGGGCTGTCGCTAATATTGTCTAGGCATCCATTGGTACAAGAATCAAAAGCAAAATCAAGTTCAAGATCACCCAAACAGTCTATGAATGGTAGGTCACAGCCACTTGCCAAATTGATTCGTGTAGCCCATTGGTTGGTCAAAGGCATCGTTCAAGCTATGAGGATAATGTCAGTCAAGAACTTACAATGTTTCAAGGTACCCTTTTTGTCACAGTCTATTTTAATGGTCAAAGACCCTGTGGCTCCTCTGAACCCCGACACTGACCTTTCCCACTGGATCATGCTCTACAGTTTCTTTTCTCCTGATTCTCTTTGACCGTATACGCCACGAAAGCCATGGAGCATATGGGTTAAACTCAGTGTAATTGTAATGACCACAGAAAAAGTTTCTTCCTGAAATTACTGTTTGCACGCAACCTTATTTCGATCAAGGATGTTTCACAAGTATTGTTACATTCATGTTCCGAGCATCTTTGGCACCAGCCCCGCATCAAAGTCTTTGCCTTAGTTATAGGCACGTTTTGTGAGCTACAGAACCTTAAATCAATTATCACATACATATGAGCACTGGCTTAAACGGCATGAGTTAAGGATATAATGATAGTTGTTGTTACGAAACTGACTATAGAATCATAGCGTGGAAAGCTGATCCCCTAAGAATAAGTCAATGATCTTGCTTATATTGTTGTAGGTGTGGGTAACAGCATGTGTTCAGGTATTCTTCTCACTGGGGCCAGGATATGGAGGTCTTATATCAATGGCTAGCTACAACAACTTTCACAGCAATTGTTTGAGGTAATCATTAAACATTATGATTCATTGATTGTTGTTTAACGCCGCACCCAGCAATATTCCAGCGACGGTCTGTAAATAATTGAGTCTGGGCCAGATAATCCCGTGATCAACAGTATGAGCATCGATCTACGCAATTTGGATACGATGACACGTGTCAACCAAGTCAGCGAGTCTGACCACCTGATCCCGTTAGTCGCCTCTTACGACAAGCCTGCGTTACTGAAAACCAATTCTAACCCAGATCTTCACGTGTCTACCTATTTTTAAGTATATTAGCTCAACTAGAATGCGTTGATTGATGTTTTTTAGTTAATTATATCCATAATTTCGAAACACTTCGTGCATTATGAGTAAAATGTATTGACCATATATGCCTAATAAAACTTATGAGGAAGATATATTTTGTACATCTGACATGTAATATATCATGTTGTATTTCACTTCATTCGTACCCGTGAGACTGATTTCAGTTTGTCCATTTTGTCCCAAGGAACGCAGTCATCTGTACATTGGCGTGTGGAGGATCAAGCTTGTTTGCGGGATTAGTTTTATTCGCGTTTCTTGGATCCATGGCTCACGAAGCCAACGTCCATATCACATATGTTTTGTCCTCAGGTGTGTGGTTATAATATTCAGATTAAATCAATTCTACCAGTTCAACTGGAGGAATGCAAAACGTCTTTGTAAATATATAGATACACATACTGTGTTTAATCCAGTTCCTTCAGGTGTTCAGTTGCGTCCTGACTTTATGCTGTCTATTGATTCAGAATTTAAGTTCCCTTTTTTTAAACATTCTTAAAGTGTAATTAATTGCTAGTTGTAGTGTCAGTGGTTGACACATTTTATTATACAATTAGCAATGTATCACGTTTTCTAGTAACAAACTAGCTGAAGAATTGTCAATGTTTGTTTCGATGTACCCACTGTATGAGGACAGAGTAACAAGGAAAGCACAGAGAATTGCCACCGACAGCTCTTCTACCCTTTGGCAGACGTTTTAAGCAACCAATTTTTAAGACTAACAGATCCATGTCTTCTTTTATCCCTGTTGTAAGTAGTTGTGAAATGAGAAATCTAACTTGAGTTTTTAAATGACTTTTCTTTTTAGTATTTATATTAGGTAATAATTGTCCTCTGTTTGGTACAAACATGCGTATATCTATCATAATGTTGTGCGACTGTGTATTTACAATGTGTTTTGAATGTGTTGTCTATTTCTTTGAGATGAGTCCCCTCTAGTCTAGCACCCTTGGACTGTGCAGTTATGTCTTTTCCAGGGCCCGGTCTTGGCTTTATCGTTTACCCAGAAGCACTGGCTCAACTGCCGCTCCCGCAGATATGGAGTGTTCTCTTCTTTGTCATGCTGATTCTTTTGGTACAAGATTCATTGGTGAGAAGCCACTCATACAAATCTATACTAGACAAGAGTGATAAGGGTAGGCCAGTGGTTAAAGTATCTAATTGGTTTGATTTCCCACATAGATATTGCTGGCAGATGTACCATTATGATGTTAATGCTAATTCGGCCACTTTCAGAGTCAACATATACGTTTGAGCACATACTTCAACATGAATTATTTTACCTCAATGTACCGGATTATTCACGAAATGGTAACACATGTTTGTGTGATGTATTTTTATAGTTTTCAACTGTGGAAACGGTAATATCGGGCATCTTGGATGAATATCCCTTCCTCCTGAAATGGAGAATCCCTGTGACTGCTGCGTACTGTCTGGTGTCATTTCTGCTAGGGCTTATTTTCACCACTGAGGTTTGCAAAGAGTTTTTTACGTCACAAGAACCGTGAGTGAGTGAGTTTAGTTTTACGCCGCACTCAGCAATATTCCAGCTATATGGCGGCAGTCTGTAAATAATCGAGCCTGGACCAGACAAACCAGTGACAAACCAGTGATCAACCGATGAGCATGATCAACAGCATGAGCATCGAAGGTCATAGTAATCTTTCGGCCATTATGTCCATCTGTGTAAGTACATTGTATATTGTTAGTTTCTGCTGTCGACTTCTAAATTGTGAAGGAATTAACCTTAAGCGAAATACATTATGTTGCAATATGATAGAAATCATGGCATTTAAGATTAAGTCATTTGCAGTTTTATTGCAACTGTTGAAAATTCGTTACGAATTGTACTCAAACCCAAACACCAGTACAATGTTTTGTTTAAAGCACCATACCGTGTGCTGCATTGTTCATTGATGATATTCAAGTATTAAAACTGAGATATATGTAAATAGTTACATTTGGAATTTTTATTAATGATATTTTTCACGGGTATTTTTCCCTTTTCCCACGGACATTGTTTCTGGGGATAGTGGAGACTGGGTATTCATTTGCGCTGACATTCTACACAAATGACGTAGAACGTTTGGTGATGTATACGAGGTGTGACTGAAAGGGTATGATGAAACATGTAAATGGGATTTACAATATGATCCCAATCCAAAGTTTGCACTTTCTTTCCAACTATAGTATTGACAGTTAGTGAGTGAGTGAGTTGGGTTTAACGCCGTTTTTAGCAATATTCCAGCATCATCACGGCGGGGGACACCAGAAATGGGCTTCAAAACATTGTAGTATTGACAGATATTTGGTGTTTCAAAATATGTTTTAACATTCGCAGGGTGGAATGTACGTGTATCAACTGGTTGACTGGTACATAGCCACCATATTCCTCATCTCTGCTGGATTTATGGAGTGTGTAACTTTTGGATGGGTATATGGTAAGACACAGATTCATTTCTGAGACTTACACAATTTGGCTTGAACGAATTGCAGGCAAAACGTGCTGACCATATTACAAGAAATTTCTTCTGTGAAGATCCGGGTATAAATTGTATTTTTCAGGAACCTATGGGGCCATCCCTGTAAATTTTAGAGGCGGTAACGAAATTGGGTGCAACACATTATAAATTTGGGGCCTTCGTTGAAACAACTGACAATCAAAAACATAATGAAAATGTGTAAAACATGTATTCTAAAATTGAATTGTCACAGACAATTGTGGACAAAATCAGAAATGCGTGCATGTCCTGTGTTATTACCAATAAGTAGCCATGATGCCACAGAAGTTTTCAGAAATTCAAAGTTTCAGAACCAGCATGGAATGGGGATCTGAAACTGTGTTCGATGTATGGAAATGTAAAAACATGATTTTGGTCTTGTTGCGACATTGCATTTTAATCACTGAATGCAATTTGTTTTTAAACCTTATTATGTACAGCGAAACATGTTTTCCTCAAAACGATCTCTAAGCCCACAATGAGTGCCTGCTATATTTCTTTATTCCAGGAGTGAATCGTATCAGTGCCGATGTTACACTAATGATCGGAAGACCAGCCCCATTGTTCTTCAGAATCTCATGGTCTTCCATCACTCCCGCAATGCTCCTGGTAAGAAGATTTGCTGACGCTTGCAATTGTGTTCTCAAACATCTCCGACCAGTAATGGTTCCTTCAAATAAATACTGCGTCAGTCTTGTTTGGAATTACACATACACCTTGACGTCTATTACGCCTGGAGTGATACAGTCATCTCATTCTCTCAAAGTCCTTGGTGGTTTCGATTAGGCAGCTGTTGATAACAAACTAGAATTCTTGTTTCTTCATTTATTCTTATTCTTGAGTCTAAGTTTCAAACATTAGATTGACTGTAACAGAATGGAAAAAATATAATTAAGTATATGGCCAACATGTTCCCTAAAGTTACACATCTACAATATAGTGACAAACATTTTGGACAATGTGAATTGTAGTACAAACAAACTTGAAAACTTTCACAATACCATGTGCAAAACCAGTATCTTAATTACATTGAATAAACAGCAAGCTTTTAATATTTCAAACATATTTCATACCAACTTTAGGCCAAAAGAATACTTGTGAATAAATTTTGAAGTCAAAGCCAATTTCCACAAGTCAAGTCCAAAATAGCTATAAAGCCTAAATTATGAAAAATTATCTGATTATGTTTGGTACAAGTTAAGAAAATGCATTAAATTCTTCCAAATGAATTGTAAAATAAGTGAATAACATTTGGCTTACCATTACTTTAGACCCTCATGAGTCCTGCCTGTGTCACATGTGCTTGCAGCACAAACCACATGGTCATTCTGTCCCCAAGAAATTATCTCCCCTCATCTTAAGGTTGACATAAAATGAGCACTTCTTTAAAAATGAAATGTGGCATTCAAAAAAAACTATGAAATAGAAATAAACCTTTTATCCATTACTACTAATTAATGTTGCAGAATACTAGTGCAATATGAAATGGTAACATTGTGGAAATATTATTAACTAAAATGTTTACTTCCTAAACCAATTGAGTCATTATAAGTGAAATAAATGAAAATCATTATTTTGACCTTTACACACCGGTCTCCTAATTGTAGAATCTGCATGAAACAATTACAAATGATTGTACAAAAATGGTCAAAATTGTCTTGATTTTAAAATCATTTCTTACTGGAAAGAACTGGTGTCTTCACTTTCACACAAATAACACCAATAAATCTTTGAGGTACATTCACAGTTTGTCATAAGGTCTTTCAAGAGTTCTGTTAATTTTTTAACCATGTACAATGATACACAATTTGTTTATGAGCTCTGTTGTAGCTGTCCTCACACGCACTACACGTACAGATCCCTTTTTGTCTGTCATGACCTGCATGATACGTCCCAGTGACCATGAATTACGAGGAGAACTGTCTGCTAGAAGAACAATGTCTCCAACTTTAAGATTGGGCTTCCTTGCAACCCACTTCTGTCTCTCTTGCTGCATGGTAAGGTATTCCTTTACCCAACGCTTCCAAAATGTATCAGCTAAATACTGTACTTGCCTCCATCGTCGACGAGAGTAGACATCGTCTTTACAAAAAGTTCCTGGTGGCATCTTTTGACCTGAACGCAGAAGCAGAAGATGGTTCGGTGTGAGGGGGTTTAGATCATGAGGATGATATGGTACATCAGTGATAGGTCTCCCATTGAGAATAGTTTCAACCTCACAAAAGATGGTACTCAGACCTTCATCATCAAGTTTGATGGTTTGTTCATGGACAACTGCATGTAAAACTTTCCTTATTGAACGAATCATACGTTCCCAACTCCCACCATGATGGGATGCTGCAGGAGGGTTAAAATGCCAATCAATTCCTCTTTCTAGCAATGATGAGTGCAAGTTGGGTTGGTTCAATTTCAGGATTTCTTCTTTGAATTCACGTTAGCTGCTAGTGAGATTGGTCCCATGGTCTGGCCTGATCACTTCTGGTTGACCTCGTCTTGATATAAATCGTCGTATAGCATTGATGCAGCTGTCGGTGTCAAGAGAACAAGCTAGTTCTAAATGCACTGCTCTCATGGTCAAACATGAGACGATCACACCATACCTTTTCATTGTTGCACGACCTCTTTTAACTAAAAAAGGTCCAAAAAAGTCCATACCCACATGCGAAAATGGTGGTTTGTCAGGTTGAAGACGGTCATCAGGAAGGTCTGCCATCTGTTGTTGTCCAGTTGGTGACTGATACTTCTTACAAATGACACATTATCAGCTTTGACAAAGGAGAAGTTTTGGGTAAAACAACCGGATGTTTAGAATCATGTTGAATCTTATGATTCCATTATGATTCCATTTTCAATGAAGGGATCTAACTTGTACAGAGGACTAGATTTACTGACTCTTCTTCCATTGTTAACTTGGTTTTTGTTTCCTTTCAAAACTTCAACCTCTTTCCTGAAGTGTTGACCCTGCACATGACGAATAACTGCAACTTCTGCTTCCTTTAGTACTGAAACTGTCAACATGGGCTTTGAAACGCACAATCTTTTAGGTTTATTTGCACCTGTTTTTGATTCCAATTTCTTTTCTTTTACCTTTCTTTTCAGCTCTCTCATAGTTAAGATGATCCATCCAACAGCCTTTCGGAGTCGTATCCAACTTGAATAATGATTCAATAGTCTGTCCATTACATCTTGGGACTGGAAAGTTACTAGACAACTTACAGAGTTCTTGACTTCTGGGTCTTCATCAGGTACAGACACACATATGTCTGGAGAAAGGGGCCATTCAACTCTTGGTCTCCACAGAAACCCTGGTCCTTTAAACCACTGTTGGGCAAGTTTGAACTTGTCAAACATCATCCCTCTTGATGCAACGTCTGCTGGATTGAGCTTAGTGTTGACGTACTTCCACTGCTCGACTTCAAAACCCTCATGGATAGTTGTGAGACTATTTGCTACAAAGGTTTTGAATCTTGATGCACTGTTATGGATGTATCTGAGCACAGACATACTGTCAGTCCAAAAGAAAGTCTCATCTATTTTGTATTGTAGCTCTTTGGTCAATAGCTTACACAGGCGAACTGCAACTGTAGCAGCTGTTAGCTCCATACGGGTTTTGTCATTTTCTTCAGGGGTGCCACCCTTGATTTAGCTTCTTGTATTACCAAGACACAGTGAACATTGTTGCTTACATTTGTTAGGCGAAGGTAGGCTACAACACCATAGTCAACTTCACTCAGCATCAAAAACAGATGCAACTGATACGATGTACTTTTTACCAAACCCTTGTGGTTTGTAACAACTGTTCTACTGCTATCTCATCCAACCTTGGCAAGTTCTCTAGCCACTGAAGCCAAATTGTCAAAGAGGGTTCATCTATTTCTTCATCCCAACCAAGATCTTTCCTGCATAATTCTTGGAGAAGATTCTTGGCAATCAACAAGTAAGGTGCTACAAAACCCAGAGGATCATATACACTACTTACAACAGATAATATGCCTCTTCTGGTGGTTTTCTTATTCTTGTCTTGAATCTTGAAACATAGAGTATCAGAGTCAACAAACCCAAAGACCCTAAGAGCTCGCTCGCTGGGCAGAGATTCACATTCCAGATTCAATTCCTTCACCTCATTGGCTCTCTCCTCAGTTGGGATAGTTTTCATTACAGATTTGCTATTGCAGACCCATTTTGTCAAACGAAACCCTCCATCTTTGCAGAGCTTTGATAGTTCATTGATTAGGTAGACTGCCCTTTCTTCATCTTCTACAGATGCTAAACAGTCATCAACATAGAAGTTGTTCTTAACCATGTTAATAACTTCCGAAACATATCTTTCTTTGTTGTCCTCAGCAGTTTGTTGCAAAGCGAATGTGGCACAACTAGACTGGCCGAAACTGACTGTGCCATAACAAGCCGAATATTCTTTCCTGTATTTATGTATTTAATCATACATATAACCTAAAAATAATAATTACATTGTATGTCCCCAATTTGTCCTTTCAGGCAATATTCATTTTCACTCTGGTTCAGTACCAGCCTCCAACATATGGCAACTACATCTATCCTGATTATGCTGCCTCCCTTGGTTGGTGCCTGGCAGCGGTTCCCTGCATTCCATTGGTCACTGTGATGTTCGTGGTCATTTACAAGGAGGAGGGGACGGTACTGCAGGTACTCAAACGTGGTGCACTGAATACAAACGTCACTCAGTATTGTAAAGTTGATTTTTAAGTTTCCTTCAAGATTCCAATCAGAACAATATTTGAAATTGCCTCTGAATGAATAGCTGCTTGGGGACAATTGAGTCATCAGCAAAGTCCCTGTCTAACGTTGTTTTAGTTCTGCTGGTGAATCAGAGTGCAAGATTTTAAATGTCATTAATAACATGGTCCAGTGTTATAAGTTGATCATATGAAAGTGTATTCAGCATTGTGTGATAAGAGTTCTGCCGAATCACCTTGTTTTTCTTGTTATTTCACAGAGGCTAAGGAAGAGTTTGAAACCTGATTGTTCTTGGGGTCCGGCAAAATCGTCATGTCGGGAAGTTTATAGTCGCACATACGGGGCACACTCCTTCGGAAACTCGTGTGAGAAAACAATTTACCTTACTACCAAACTATTCGCCTCATTTCACGTTTTCAAATGTTTCCTTTGTAATTACATGCCGGGGGATATAGTCGACGTCTGTAATCATTTTGTTTCCGGAGTACAACTCAAAAACCGTTCAATATCTATCAACAACAGATATAGATATATCCAACAGAACCTAAAGTGTTTCTTTTGGCTATTTTCAGATTCTGTCATTTTTATCTTGCTCCATTTCCATGGACTAAGTCTCAAAAAGGGAGGGGCGGGTGGGTGGGTTTCTGTTTCCGGAGAACAACTCGAAAACCTTTCAATATCTTTCAACAAAACTTAGCAGATAATTGAGACAGATCCCAAAGTGGAGCCTTTTGATACTGGCATATTTTTGGTATATTTATTTTTCTCGGTTTCCCTTGAAACGATTCGGACTTAGTCTCAAATGGGAGGGATGGGCTCCGTTTCCTGAGCCTAACTCGAAAACCGTTCAATATGTTTCTACAATACTTGGCAGATATATCAAACCGATCTTGAAGTGCTATTTGCAGATTTTTGGCATTTATATTTTACATGATTTGCATGGAAACGATTTTGACTGTCAGATCATTGATTCTTTCAAATTTGTGGGGGCCTCGGTACTTTGTCATCTTCTGATGACTCTTGTTTGAAAAGCAGTGGCTTATTCAACCTTTCCTTTGAGTTGTTTTGATTCAAAGGCTGAGTGACAATGATTTAAATGTTTTCAATGCAAACGCGGTTTGACGAATGAATCAATAACAGATTGTTCATCAACTTCAAGTTGAGGATCGTGTAAATGATTAAAGTCTTCAATTGATGACTTGATGTGTTTCAAGTACAAATTGATAGACGTAAATGAAAATAAGTGAATCATAATTGTATTTCTGTTCTACAGAATAGCAGCACCTCGCAGCATTTTGCACAAAAATATGGCTTATATTTTTCTACATCATTACAGCAAAAATTGCTTGGTATGGCTCCATTGAGAAATATTAAAATGTTAAATGCCTTGCCCTAGCAATTTACAGATTAGAGTCTCAGGACAGGAAAACGTGTGAACAAAAGCTGGTCGATTCATATGTCGATGATGATGAAGGTTTGAACCATATCAGACAAGCTATATATGATATTGCTAAAACTGAGTGTCGGGATTTTCCGGAGGGAACTCTTGTGAAGAGGGTGAAAAGAAATGGCCAGTCAAAGTCAATTGCAGAAAAGTACAAGGGAGCTATACAGTCACATGTTATACAGACTGAAGTTCTGAGCAGGGCTAAGTCGGTCCAGCCCAAAGTTCAACATGAATTAAGTGATATGGATAAAGATATTGCCTCGCAAATGCTATCTAAGATGATGTGTATTCATGAAGATATGATAAAGAAGTTTGAGTCTGTATGTAAACAATTAGAAACCTTTGAGGAAAAATATGATAGAGACATGATGCAGCTGATTGAAGCCTATGATAGAAAATCTGACGAGGTCAAGTGTTGTAAAGAAGAGATAACTTCTCTTTGCCATAGTGAAAAAACTCTCAAGTCAGAAGCTGTGAAATTACGCAATCAGATAAAGCAGAAAGACTTAGAACTGAAAGACACAAAAGATAGCCTAAATTCAAAGCTCAACTCCATTGAAAAGTGCGTACGAGCAGTTGAGGGCAAAATGGATTGCGTAAGTACAAGGCACAAGCTACTGTATTCAGAGGCCCTCAAGGATACAAGCACTGATGTAACCACGCCAAGCAAGACGACAATGGAGCCCAGGATAGTCAATCAAGCCCTGTCAGCACACCCCAGCCATTCAATGATGACGTCACAGCGGAGACCCAGACAAGCTATGATATCAACCCTCCTGTGGACACTGGTACAGTAGATTACGTCACTAACAACCAGTACCTCACACACGAGACGAAACCAATCAACAGACAGAAGAAACGTAACTTTCACTAACCACTGGAAAAAGTGTTTCTCAGGAGTATCCAGAAATAGAAACAAACGGTTTGTACTGAGTTATGTTCGTGCTGATGAACCTACGAAGTCGTTAAAGACGCCATCTGTGAATATGCCAAAGAACGTGGCGTTAACGTCTCCAATACCAGGCTGATGAAACATTGGGAAGGGGACGTAATCCAACATACACCATCAGAATAACAGTGTCAAGACGATGTGCGGATATTATATATGACGACGAGTGCTTCTGGCCCGAAACGTAAACTGCAGGGACTGATTCCAAACAGCGATTGGTACACTGACGACATTTCTGAAAAGCCAAGACAATGAAGCACACAAGTAGGGCGTGGTGTGGAGTTGTGTATATTCTCATGGCAGCTTCAGTGTAATAACGTGGAATGTACGGGTGCTAGTAACTGTTTGCCCCATCTCAAAACAAAGCTCGATGGCTGTGATGCTCTATTCATTAACGAACATTGGATGAATAAGTCTGAAATATCAACACTGCTCGATCTACATGACTCTTTTAGTGTATACTATAAGTGTAGAACTGACCATTCGTCACAGAGAGGAGCAGGTGGTGTTGCTCTGTTTATCCGGAAAACATTAAACAGCTCTGCGCTCTACGTATCAGAGAGTGAAAACATCCTTGGTGCAAAGGTGACTATTAACGGGAGCACAACATTTATAATTGGCACCCGACTTCCGTCCACAAACGTGCTTGATTCTCGGTATTGTGAAGAACTGTATAATACCTTTGATCTATATGACAAGTGCGCTCAAGAAGCAGAGACAATATTAGTTGGCGATTTTAATGCTGACATAAGACACTGTGTTGACTCAAAGCGTAGAGCTAGGTATCTAAATAGGGTTCTAACAGAACGAAACCTTGTATCTGTTATACCTCTGGATGATAGTAATGTTTTTACTTATTCCAACAAGTGTAAAACACAAAGAAGTTTGATTGACTACGTCTTCATAGACTGTGATCTCAGAAATAGGGTACTGGGTTATGCTGTTGACAATAACATAAGCTATGCTGTATCCGACCATTTTCCTATCCTCACGGTGTTTCGTAGTGAAACTCCTACATACAGCTATACTGGTGGTATACATCTAAATTGGCGAAAAGCCAATCAAGTAGATCTCTCATTGTATCGGTATGAAACTGAAAACTATTTTAGAAATGTTGAATTCGAATGCTCCCAGTATACATCTCCAGAAGAATACATCGAAGCTCATTATGCATATGTAACCCAATCTCTCCATTCTGCAGCAAATATAAGTATCCCTTCCTCTCGTTACCAGGCAAACTTGAAACCATATTGGAAAAAAAGATAATTTGAAAGATCTACATAATACAATGAGAAATTGTCGCAATGAATGGATCCGTAATGGTAAAATCCATGATAAAGAGAATAGTTACTACATTGCATATAAAGAAGCAAAACGTATTTTCCGAAAACGACATCGTCAATCAAAGAAACATGAGGATGATCTTAAATTCAAAAGAATTTATGAGGCTTCTGAACTAGGTATACAAGAGTACTTTAAAGCTACCAAAATATACAAACGTAAAAAAAGAATACACTCAAGTTCTCACTTACGAAAACACATCTTGTAATACTCAGGAAGGTATATGTGACCTATTTGCTAAATATTTCAGAGACCTATCTCTACCATGTACAGATGTTAATTTTGATTCAGATCTTACTGATTATGTAAATAACTTTGTATCTCAACTTGATAATACTCATGATGACTGTGATGATGTTTCTACACTGCTTCAGTGTCCTTTTACGTTTGATGAACTGTTATGCACTATTCGGCGACTTAAGAACGGCAAATCACCTGGACCTGATGGTATTGTTAATGAACACTTAAAGTACGCCGGTAGATCTGTTATTAATCACCTAGTAGCACTTTACAATGCTATTGTTCATTATGAATATCTACCTTGTGGTTTTAATGTTGGTACCATACTTCCCATACACAAAGGAAAAGGTAAAAGCACATGCGACCCTTCAAATTACCGGGGAATAACTTTAACTCCTATTGTCAGCAAATTATTCGAAAGAGTCATCTTAGAAAGAATAGAAAATTGGTGTTGCCACAGTAAACCTTTCCCGCACAAGTATCAATTTGATTCCGTAAAGGTGCTGGCGCTGAAACAGCTGCATTAACACTGTTAGAAAGTATAGCTTATTACAGGGAAAGAAACTCACCAGTGTATTGTGTCTTTCTAGACAACGAGAAGGCCTTTGATAGAATATGGCTTAATGGATTATTTTATAAACTCCATCACTTTGGTATAAATGGTAAACTGTGGCGTATCTTACGTACTAAATATTCTTCAATGCAGTCTTGTGTTAAAATAGGGGGAGTTGCATCTGCTCCATTTCCTGTAAAACAAGGTGTTGGTCAAGGATGTGTTTTGTCAGCTTGGTTATTTTCATTGTATATTAATGACCTATTATACGCACTAGAATCATTACAACACGGTTTAAGTCTTCCATGGGGTAATGTGCCAGGTATCTTATTAGCAGATGACACAACTATTGTAAGTGGAGCCATAGATGGCCTACAGTGTGCACTAAATGTGTGTTTTGAGTACTCTTGCAAATGGCATCTTAAATATAATGCCGACAAAAGTGTATTCTTATTGTTTGGTAATACCCAAAACATACATGTCCATCATTTTACATTGGGAGAAGATTGTAACTCAAAAGATCTTGTTGTGTATGCTGGCTTGTACATAACCACTGCATCTTCAACTTTAGTGCGTACTCAAAAATCATGTGATAAACTTAGAATGTTAGTCAACACAAATCGCTGCAATGGTTTGTTCTTTGGTGGTCTAAACCCCATGTCTGCTTGTGGAGTCTGGAACAGAGTTATGTTACCATGTGCCCTGTTTGCTTGTGAATTATGGTGTAAACTAACATCTAAAGAGTATGAAATACTTGAACGAGCTCAATCTTTCTTCTGTAAACACATCCAGGGGCTCTCTAAATGTTCTTCGACAGTTGTCGCACGAGACTGTTTAAATTTACTATCAGTCCAAGCATACATAGAAAAACGTTGTCTTATGTTCCTTGGCAAATTATGTAGAGGTAATTTAAACTTTGTATTCAAGAATGTCTTAAACTTTAAACTTAGTCAATTCTTACTTGACTCATGTTATGAAAGAGAAGCTAAAAGTACAAAAATCCCCTATCTACCATATGCTACTATTAACATATAAATACGACCTGACAGGTTATGTAAATACATACATTGTGTCTGCCAGCTTTCCTAATAAAGCACAATGGAATGTCCATGTTACGAAAACAATTCATGATGCTGAAAATATCCATATATGTAAAGAGTTAACGTCAAGGGAAAATCAACATAGATACTATTCAGTGCGAGACCAGAATATACATAGATTATGGCAAATGTCGATCCTACGACCTGATCTATTTCACTGTATTGCAAACTTGGTGCAAATTAGTACTCTGCGTATCCAATCAAAAGAGTGTATATGTGGCACATTTGCCTACGATATTGTCAAACATGTTTTTATGTACTGCGAGCTGACAAGCCGTCAGAGAGATCTTCTTATCGAATCAATTATTGACAGAGTAGATGTAAATACGTTTTCTAGCCTTTGGAACAATGATGAAGAATTGATTCTATGTTTCTTACTCGGAGGACTTCCAACGGAATATTGTCTATCCCTTGATGATAATGTATGGCTTGAATGTATGACCAATGTATGTACAACTGTTAACAACTGGAAACATTTCTTTGTAAACTGTTTGTAACTATCTGTATTCCCCTGTTTCTGATCTGCATGTCAATATATCATATCACATTGTATCTTCATTCACTGGAGGAAATAAAGAATATCTATCTATCAAACCGATCTTGAAGTGCTATTTGCAGATTTTTGGCATTTATATTTTACATGATTTGCATGGAAACGATTTTGACTGTCAGATCATTGATTCTTTCAAATTTGTGGGGGCCTCGGTACTTTGTCATCTTCTGATGACTCTTGTTTGAAAAGCAGTGGCTTATTCAACCTTTCCTTTGAGTTGTTTTGATTCAAAGGCTGAGTGACAATGATTTAAATGTTTTCAATGCAAACGCGGTTTGACGAATGAATCAATAACAGATTGTTCATCAACTTCAAGTTGAGGATCGTGTAAATGATTAAAGTCTTCAATTGATGACTTGATGTGTTTCAAGTACAAATTGATAGACGTAAATGAAAATAAGTGAATCATAATTGTATTTCTGTTCTACAGAATAGCAGCACCTCGCAGCATTTTGCACAAAAATATGGCTTATATTTTTCTACATCATTACAGCAAAAATTGCTTGGTATGGCTCCATTGAGAAATATTAAAATGTTAAATGCCTTGCCCTAGCAATTTACAGATTAGAGTCTCTCAGGTGGTTTTGAAATCCTCGTAGAGCGGCGCAATGTGTTTGGAACACTGGACACCACCCCGTCAGGCACAGGAGGACTGCAGTTCCCTGAAATAGAATCAGAGTCCTGAATATGAGGCGACCATATCACTGTGATCGGGCTGACTGGAGCTTGATACGGGGCAGTCACCTTTATCGGTCATTGTGACATCAGCGTTTGGTTGAGTGTTCGGTTCACAAACTGGTTTAACTTCATCAGCCCCTTCTCTGATCTGGTCAATATGTCATCTGATGATTTGATGCCTTGTTTCGATGATGGAGTGTCTTACACCATCCTCCGAACGCACTGTGCCAAAACCCATCTTTCTCCATTCTTAGAATAGTTCCTGGTCCATACCTTCTGACCGATGTTTAATGTTCTTGCTGTGTCACTTGCTCTGTTCCCATGTAAATCTGTTATTTTCTTTTGCAGATCTGGTTTCAGCAAGTCAAGCCGAGTCCTGAGTTCCCTACCAAGAAACAACTTTGCTGGTCTTTTCCCTGTAGTGCGGTGTGGAGAAGATCTGTACATCAAAAGAAATTGTTCACACTTCTTGTCAACTGTGTGTGAATCCGCATTTGCTGCATTCATAGCTCTCTTGAAAGCCTGAACAACTCTCTCTGCTTGTCCGTTTGTAGACGGATGGTACGGAGCCGAAAATATGTGTTTCATCCCATTTTCTTTCAGTAAACTGACTTCATCTTGACGATGCCCATGTGCCAAGAATGAAGTTCATGCAGTATTGTATCGCAAAGCCTAGATGGTATGACCACTCTTATTCCCCACAGGATGCAACCTTGGTGAATAGTGAGTTCCTGTCGCCTTTTAGCAAAATGCTGTAAACTCTCACTTGTCACATGTTCACTGTCCCAACCATTCATAATGGCATCGTACACTACTGATAGTGTTGGGTCTTTTCTGTTGCTTCTCGAATATTGGCACAAGTGACTGGTGAAGTTTCAAAATGACTTGAAATAAATCAGTGATATCTACTGTCTCCTGGTTATCTTTTCTAACATTCCTCAATGGAAGTCTTGAAAGTCCGTCTGTATTTGAATGTTCTTTTGATGCTTTCTATTCAATTGAATGTTCTTTTGATGCTTTGTATTCAATCTTGTAGGTGTAAGCACTAAAGATAAGTGCCCATCTCTGTAACCTCAAAGCTGCGAGTGTGGGGACTGGTCTGTCAGCGCCGAATAGAGCTGTGGGCGGCTTGTGGTCCGTGACAAGAGTAAACTGTCGGCCACATAGGCACTGATGAAATCGCTTCACGCCGAATATGATTCCTAAAGCCTCTTTGTCAATATGTGAATATTTGCGTTCAGTCTTGAGTGTTCTTGATGCAAAACCCATGGGTCTCTCAGTGCCGTCCGTCATAACTTGTGAAATGACCGCTCCCAAACCGTAGGAAGATGCGTCACATGCCAGTCTCAGTGGTAGATTTGTGTTGTAGTGTGTAAGCACGTTGGCGCCAATGAGCAGCTGCTTGCATTTCTCGAAAGCGGACTCGCACTGTTCAGTCCAAACCCATTTAATCCCTTTTCTCAGTAATGCGTTCAATGAATGCACAACTGTTGAGAGATTTGGAAGGAATTTTGCATAGTATCGATTCAGTCCCAAGAAAAGAGCGTAGTTCGGCAATATCTTCAGGTCGCGGGGCGTATGCAATCCATCCTGGTCGATGACATGTCCAAGATATTGTACAGATTTCACCATGAATTTGCACTTTGAGAGTTTTACTCTGAGTCCATATTCTTTCAGCTTTCCTAAAACAGAATTCAAATTGTCTAATGTTCCCCGAAGTTTTTTCCAGATACAAGTATGTCATCTTGATGACAAAGTACACGGGGAATCCCTTGCAGAATTTGGTCCATCATTGATTGAAACATAGCAGTCGCCAAAAGCTTAACGTGTGTACTGGTACAAACCCTTGGGTGTCGTTATTGTCAGTAATTTCCTCGACTCGATGTCGACCTCCATTTGTTGATAAGCATGCGCTAAATCAACCTTAGAGAACTTCTCCCCTCCTGCCACCTGAGCGAACATGTCTTCAAGTCTATTTTTGGGATACTGATTTACGTTAAGTGAAGGATATACTGTAAACTTGAAGTCGCCGCATACTCTTACCGTCTGTTCCGATATGATAACTGGCACTATGGGAGGGTCCCACTCGCTGTGCAGAACTTTCATGATCGCTCAGATTTCAATTTCTGCATTTACTCTGTCTCGCAGTGCATATGGAACAGGTCTTGCTTTCATAAATTTTGGGGCACCCCTTAAGAGCCACCTCCTCGTGGTGGGTGCTGGGTAACGCTAAGCGCACCTCAACCCCCCGTTGTGGACCCGGGGGTATATTTGGTCCACCAACCCGTTTGCCGTGGGTTGCTGTCGGTGGAGGACGGGAGTCTGGTGGTTGAAGGCACTGGGAGCCCGGAACCGTGTTCCTTTTGCCCAATACACCACTTCGCCCCTTATGGCCCCTCACGCCAAGCCCTGTGCATTGATTATATGTAATTGCACAAAATTTGATTTGGAATTGTTGAAATTTTGGTCTTGGCACCCTTTGTTCATTTACACTTATTGATTTTGTAATATACTAGCCACATAAAGAAACTGTGCATTGTCAAAATATTATCCCAGTTGATAAGTACGATAACAATGTCAAAGGTACATATAAACTTTAATGGAGGGATCATGAGACCATAACAAGTCGGGAGAATTTCAATTGAAAAGTCAATCACAATGACATCACAAGTCCACAAGCGGGACAGGGGTCAAACGACCATGTCACAAGCGCAATAACGGGTATGTCCACCATCGGCATTGAGAACAGCAGTGTATCGACGACGCATAGAGCCTATCAAACGTGCAAGGAAGGCTTGTGGGATGTCATGCCAGATTCTCTCAAGTTCTGTTGCAAGGTCAAGGACGTTATCTGGCGGATGAGGAAGACGGCGTAGACGTCGATCCATCTCGTCCCGAACATGCTCTATCGGGGAGAGATACGGTGAATTTGCAGGCCAAGGCAGTAAGTCAACGTTGTGGTGTTGCAAGAAATCCATAGCAACCCTTGCCGTATGAGGGCGGGCATTGTCGTGTTGGAATGTTAACCCAGGGCCATAACGTTGCAGAAAAGGAATTGCCACAGGTCGAAGAATCTGATCCCTGTAGCCCACACCAGTTAAGTTGCCCTGAACAATCACCAAAGGAGTTCTTTGGCGTGCTGTTATTCCACCCCAAAACATCACGGAACCACCACCAAAGCCATTCCTCTCTTAGACACAGGCCTGTGCATAACGTTCTCCCACGCGTCAAATAGGCACGTTGACGTCCATCATTATGGGAAATGTTAAAACTGGACTCATCTGTAAAAACAACATTTCTCCACCAAAACAAAGGTCTGCGGACATGATTTCGGCACCACATTCGGCGAGCTTGTCGATGATGTTGTGTCAGGATAGGCCGTATGGCGGGACGTCGTGGTCTGATCCCGTGATGACGTAAACGTTGTCGAACTGTGTTGGGGTGGATACGGCGAAGTCCTGGGATGGTTCGGGCAGTCATCACTGCAGTCTGAAACCTGTGGCGCAGATGGGTCACCCTTATCCATCTGTCCTGTCTTGGTGTTGTTACACGTGGACGTCCAGAACGTGGCCGATCGATGACGTCATTTGTGTTCTGGTAGCGTCTCAGCAGTGCAGAAATGGTGTTCCGGTGGCAGTGGAAATGTGCAGCCACTTGTCGTTGAGACATTCCCCCACGGACCATCCCAATGGCCTCATGACGTTGTGCAGACGTGAGCCTTGGCATGCTATGCGTTTCAATAGCCGTTTAATGTTTTGAACGATCGCCAGGGCAGGGGTTGAGCTTTCCAACGTGACAGTATTGTGTGGCATTCATTTGCTCTGTTTCTCTTTCCCAGAATGCACGTGCAACAACGTATTGCACGTCTCAAGGACAAACCCACTGACGTCACGGAACGTGGCACGTGCATGCATGCTGGATACATGTCACTAATCTCTGAGTTTAAATCCTTATGTGTCTACACAGGTTTGATACATTTAGATTTTAAATTTTTGTATGCACAGTTTCTTTATGTGCCTGGTATATGTTTATCATGAACTTTGCCTAGAGTCTTAATGCCCAGAAGGCGGTGGCTCATGGGCCAATCTGGTGGGATTTATCTTTTCAAGATATTTTCTGCTTGAGTATACCCTTCTAGTATCCTTGGTGCCGTGTGCTGGAGATCAACAGACATGAGGCATCGTCCTTGTTGACACTCCATGGTGGGTGGGGAGCTAGGAGGGTGAATCATATATTTTTCTACCATGGCACCCCTACTAAACAAACGTTCACACGAATCTGATGATTCGTTGTCTTCAGATGATGAAGCGCAAACAACTGTCAATAACCCTGATAATTGGCCTCGTTTCATTGTGATGTGTGGCCCTCTCAACCTAAATCCCTTTGATGTGTCAAAGGGCATTGAAGGTTTGGCTGGGGAGGTGAAAGACATCAAAAAGTTGAGATCTGGTTCCCTGCTAATCGAATGCAGGAAAGAAATTCTGCTCAAAACAAAGTCTTTAGCAAATGTTCCTGTGGAGGTGTCCCCTCACAGAACATTAAATACCAGCAAAGGCATCGTCCGTGATACTGGACGTTGCCTGTCAGACATGAGTGAAACTTTATCGTTACTGAACTGCAATCCCAAGGCGTTATAATTACTCATGTCAAACGATTTACAGTAAAAAAGAATAATGATGTTTTCAAGACAAGCACTTACCTGTTTACATTTTGTCTCTCGATGCGTCCTAAATCTCTGAAAGCAGGATATTGCAACTTAAGGGTTGATGCGTTTATCCCCAACCCCTTGAGGTGTTATAATTGCCAAAAGTATGGTCACGGGTCAAAGTCTTGCCACAATCCAGCTGCATGCTGATAATACACCTGTATGTATCAACTGCTCTGGTTGCCATCCTTCCTCATCGAAGGAATTCCTTTCTGGAAGTTACAATCAAAGATTTCACGAGTGAAGCATGAGCAAAACGTTTCTCTAAACCAAAACACGTTTCAAGCAGTTCAGTCGGTTGTCAAACGGATTATACATCAGCTCCCACATTGCTGTCTGCTGAAATTCAGGCGAAAACTCCAAAAGTAACTTCCAGAGTACAAACCATTGTTCAGACCAAGGCATCTTCTGAGAAGGATTCATCTGCTTCTCAGAAACAAGCATCCAAATCAGACTCAAATGTGAAATCAAATGTGAAAACTACATGCAGACGGAGCAATGAAATCAATAAGATAAAATTTAAAGTAACAGACCTCCGAAGGGGTCAAATGACCAGGTCCAACTGTATAATAAGTTCGGATCACCTGAGGCCATGGATGTGTCCGACCATAGCCAAGGTCGGACTCATGGCTTGTGGCCATCAAGGAAGGTGAGGGGTAGATCTTTACATCCGCCGAGGAAATAATGTCTTCAACTATAATTCAATGGAATTGTAGAGGACTCCGGACTAATTTAAACGATTTACAGTTATTAAACCAGGATTTTAAACCGTCAACGTTCTGCATCCAAGAAACCTATCTGAAACAGGCAGATAACCTTGACGTCCGTCAGTTCAATGCATATCATTGTTTTTCTCCTCCGGGTGAAAGAGCTTCTGGTGGATCATCCATCCTGG